ACGTTCTACTTTACCGATTCACTACTGCTCCATCCGGTGCCGATTTTTGTGGTAGAGAGCAAAGATGTTAAGAACTGGCGACCGGATCATCCCGACAGAACTAAGGCATTGAAGAAGATCAGCCATAAATGTGACATTGGACAACGGGCATGCGGTTTGAAATGTTGCTATGGGGAAATGGACACAGTGCAAAAGGTACATACTATCGTGTACAAGTGCAATAGTTTCCGTCCATCCTGGTTCATCAAATTCTAACCTTCGCTTCTATCTGAAGAGATCTTTCCTTTATTGTATTCTTTTTGACTCTGCCTGGCTTCAACCAACTGAAAGGCAGTGGAATCGGTGATGGAAAAGATTTCTTATCAGTGACCAAGATTGTTAAGAGACATGGAAAGCTCAAATTAATTGAGGTTGCACTCGAAAATGCATGGGCTTTTTATGATAAACAATAGGCCTGGAATCGTGTCGACAGCCTTCCAGTAGAAGTCCTTCACCCTTGAGATAAAAGCATAAACTGCGCAATAGCACAGGATTGAGCCCTTTCCAAGGGTTGTGGAATACTTAGCTGGCCCAGAGCGCTTCACTGAGTAGTCTAAAGTATACCCATGCCCATATAACTCTCATACACTTTAAACAAAACTCCGAAATGAGAGAGAACGAAAAAGCATTCGCGAGATCTGGAGTTTTCTGCCTAGCAATCCTTTCCGGCTCCTTCTAGGTTGACTAGTACCCCATTGTGTGCTATCAGGGTTTACTGGATTGAAGACCATGACTCCCATTTTCCGATATGAGGCTATCTAAACTATGATGTAATCCGCATTCACATGGGAAGAATTCTGAATAATTCTGCAGTCTACCTTCTGTAGGGTCCTTCGAATCGACAGTCGTTGAAAGACAATTATCGACTTATCATCATTTAGGTTTGAACTTCCGCTGTATTATAGGAGGGTAAGCTTATTTTAGGAAGAGCTGCTTATCATGACTGTAGCCCTGAACGTTCTGTTTTATGGCTAATAAAAATGCAATTCATGATTAGATTGTTTCGTTATCTGTACAAACAGGCAGTGTACAGGTGTTGTTGGTCCGACGGGACAGTATGTATTCATCTTTTACAGTCGAACGTTAAACTCAAACCATGTATAGATTATCAGTTTCCTTACTGCTCCAGGAAGTCGACGTGTGGGCCACCAGGTTCTTCAGCTCGATTAGGGGCCCTGAGAATCAAAAACAACATTAGGGATTAAAGTATTCGACTAACACTGAGACATTTCAGGGCTTCCTAGAGCTTGGAAATTTATCCCTATCAAGTACATATACTTTCAACGACATCACCTACTCGATACAGCAAAGTGACAACTCTTCTGCGCCAAAATGTACTTATTATCTGTCCTTCTATGATGCACTGTTTCACAAGAAAATGATCGGAGGCAAACAGGTAATTGAGCCACTTCAAGCTGATCAGAGATAAACGGTTTTGGAAAAGCAGATTGAGTAATCTTCTTGAATCCTACAGAGCGTCTTCGGAAGAAAAAGCTTTCGTTCCTTATCATTTCTGTCAGTTCAGTTTAATTCACTCAGTTCAGTATCAGTTCATCTGCCTCTTTACCTACCCCTGGTTGGCTACTGACGAACCCAATCCCGAGCCGTCGGTTAATTTCTTCTTTTGATTGTTTTTGAGGGCAAACATGTTTAAAAACTTGAAAGGTGTTGAAGCTAGCGACAAGTAGGCGAGCTGTCAAAAACCCAGGCTCGTCGGACGTGATAAGATAAAGAATTTGTTGTTTCGATTGAGGAAAGCGAAGAGGCTGCTGAATTTACGTTAGGCTAGGCCACGGGTTTTCCGATGGGGTGAAAAATGCCTGTTTAGAAATGGCAAAACCCTGAATTGTCTGGGCAGTAGTAAGGGAGATTGGCATATCTGGTAGGATGGCAGCTCAGCTACAGCAGTGAAGCTTCCAAGAGCTCTAGGTCCATGGCATGGCTGAATTGTAAAAGCTCCTCTTCAGGTTTCGGCCATCCACTTCTCGTGTCCGGAAAGGTTTTCCTGTTGTGGCCTTCGATGTGTTCCGCCGCCGTCGACAGCTCTGCTACGAAAGATAAGAGAAGCGAACTGTGAGTTACAGGTGTTCCACCAGTTAACCGTTTCTTAAAAATGTCTGCACTCCCTTGTAGAGTCCTAAGACCAAGGTTTTGAGTTGAAGTCCATGGTGGACTTACTTGCCCAGCTTCGATTTACCATGATCCCACGACGAATCTCGAAAATTCGGAGCGATACAAACTTTGTCATTCTTTTCAGTTGTTACCTATCGTTCCGGGTTTCGGGTGAAGGGCTTGCACTTCAGTCCAAACACATTCACCTTTCTATATCACAAGTATCACTGGACGAGACTGATGGGTGGAAAGAGAGGTATACATAGGTTGAGTTAAGAGACTGATCAGAAGAACAAACGGGGGATGGAGGGTATGGGGGTGGGGAGGAGCACCTAGAAACTACTTTTTTACCCTTTCTTCCTTGCAACGTCAACATTCCAGGAACGTTTTTTTCAGTGTTGTCGTTTCAATTCAGTAGAGAACGTCTGAATATTCTGCTGACGGTGGGAGCAGTCTTTTCACTGATCGCTTTCGCCTGCATCACCTTCATCAGTCGCCGGTAAGGGAGACTAAACCGATAGATCGTCTTAAGCCAAGTGTTGTATCAACTACTATTGTTCACGAGAAATTGTATCCGCAGTGAACAATTCCAGAAGTGCCACTGCTTCGGCTCGTCGAAGAGACCTCAAAACAGACCGGACCAGACGGACAATGGTCGACTCACAAACATCGACCTATTCGCTCCACGACGACATCGAAAAACTCCTTTCCACTCCCCAAAGTGTTTAGATCTGCAGAATTCGAAGTTCAAAACCGTACTGTGCTCATTCGGGTCTTCTAATCATATTTGATCTCATTTGGTGTCTAGTTTTCTTGCATAGGTATTGTGTATAGATAGTTTTCCAAAGTCTTATGTAGCACTATATCATGAAATATGAATTTGTGATTTTTTTGACAATGATCGACCGTCTCTGGGATGTGCCATGTGCGTACAAAACGTCAGATATCCTAATAGTATTCAATTATGTGCAAGTTCGAGCTCAAATCTCACTTGAACTCGTGCTTGTGCCTTTTCCATTATTGCCAGGAGTCTCTACGTTCTCATATCAGCTTTTTGTCGACGGTGTATTTCAAAAACTTGTAATGATTAGATAGTGAAAATGACGAAGTGACGTCCAGAACAACAATCAAACAAAACTAATTTCATTTTTCCCAAAATTTTTTTAATCTTCTTGCACAGCACTTCTCAGCTGTACCGCAACAGAACGGGGGACTCCTTGATAGCTGACCATTTTCATATCGCTGTTACGGTATATAGCTACAGCACGATCTTCTTGGCATCGTATCATCCTTCGAAAATTCCCTCGAAGTATGGTAATTTTTGAAGTAACTGTTGCAGTTTGAAGGCTGTGGCATAAGGTCAACGGTCAAGAGGGGCATACATATTTGTCGTAACCACCGCCTTACTATGCAAATTGACTCTCGTCGTAACTACTGATCATCCGATGAAGAAAACGCACTGTGGACATAATTGGAGCAAGGTGGCGATTAGTGGCTGGAGTACTGAGCCATCTGTGCTGATCCCCTTAACGCATTCATGCTGTGATCGACAACAAAGCAAAGAGTTGGACAAGATCGACTACGACTTGTCGTTCAAGATGCTCGACCCGCTTATTGGATCACGGAAACTGAGGCCATATGATATAGCAGACGTAGCTGGTACAGTAAGTATAAATTTAACATCGAGCAGATAATAACAATCCTGCATACAAGTCAGGGTAAAGTCTTGGAATGAAGCAAACCCATTTTCGGATGCGTCCTGCATTCGACTTCCATTCAGAATTGAAAAGGCAGTCTGAGTGGATTTGTAAGTTACTTTTGTGGGGGCGAGCCATCTACAAATGTTGCTTCCACCCTCTCACACGAGTCTGGTACCATCAATCGACCGAGAGAGATAGGTCCTCCTTGATCCGAAGTAGCTTCTAACTGGAAAGCTTTTTGATCGTAAGCCCTGAGAGGTCTGGACAAGAGTCATTTTCGAGGATAAAGTCTTTTCTCTTGTATAATTCCTTTCGTGCTTCGTCTCCCTTTGCTTCTCCAAGGGAGGGTGCTTCGTTCTACACCAATACATAACAAGCTGATGAAATGTGTAGCTTTTTCCGAATGACATTTGAAGACTCAAGCAGAACCAAAGCCCATCACGATTACCCAGAAGGGTGTAGCCCGAAACACCTGACCCAGTACTGCTAGGCTGAGAGCTTACGGTAGGGATTTATGTCGCGGTATCATAGGCTTTAGTTTTTCCTTCAACTATTGTAATAATCCCATGCTCCCGACACTTCTTCCCTATACACGCCGTTTTGGTTTCTGAATAACCTTTTATTTACTTGTCCACTTTCACACAATCAGACTTCCTCCCATCTCATCTTCCCCAAAGCCTGGTCATCCATAAACATAGTCGTGCTGTTGACACGCGGCTGGTCTGGCCATAGGTGTCCGCAGTTCCATAAACGCCTCATTACCCCATTACTGCAGGCTGGCGTCAACGGAGCAGACGGTTTGTGAAAAGCTTTGATGTACCGACGATGGTGACTGGATTAAGACCACAGCAACAGCGGATATCTTTCCTAGTGAATTTAAGTGACCAAGATTGACCCTTCAAAAATGCGCGATCCAAGCACCCAAAGATGGCTGGGTTAAAAGGGTTGACACTAAGCCATTACAACCTTGTCGCTTCCCTTACTTGTCATGTAAGGGAAAAAGGGAGCAACACAGACCGTGGTGGCAGAATAGGTACAATATTATGAGGAAATTTTCAAGTTTTCCCTCAAAACTCCCTTAAGTCGTGCTGTGATAGCGGAAAGTGGCATATCTGTAAAGCGTATCCCCTCGACAACTGTTGACAGATCCCATACAACACCTCAAGGAGGACGATTTCTCCACATTTGCGCCCACATTCTATTTGGCCGCCCGCCAGCGCCATTTCTGTGTCTCCCGCAGTGTTGCTCAATAGCGAACCCATCTGCCTTGTCCCCTCAACAACCCTCTTCGTCTTGACACGACGACATCTTGCCTGATCGCAAACGACACTCGTTCACTAACGCTTACATGCTAATCGGCTCGTAACCCAACGGACCTCTCGTCCGAGACGATTCCATAAGGCATTGTAGTCTTCAGAACGATTACTCACCCAATGTCATCTGCTTCGCTTTACTCCATTGGTTTATCTTGACCGTGAAGCCGTTCCCGTTTGTCTTGAGGGAGGTCATTCGCTACCGCTTCAGTGCATAACCGCTTCTGAGAGCCCAGCACAAACTCTACTTTCAGTTATTCTTTTTCCTGCTTTGTTCCTTTGTTCCAGTTTATCGATAGAAGTGTGAATCCTAAGCAAAAGATCG